TGCTGAGGTTTAACTCTATGAAAGAAGTCTTCTTGTGTTCTCCTCAACAGAGCACATCCAGGAAAATGAATGCCTAAGGAACCCTCTGGTCACCTCTAGGACCCAGCTCACAGGGCCATCTAAAGATACAGATCCTCAGAGTGTGGAACGGCATCAAATTCAGCTTAACAAAGACTTTGAGGAGATACTGAGAAAGATCACACATTTCAGCGATGAATGCATAGCCCAGGACAAAGAATATTACAGGTAAGAGAGTTATACAAGTGGTCCATAGTTTTACAAGGTGGCCTCATTTCCACCTGAATACAAAGGATATTGGGAAGAAAGCTAAAGTCGTTGATGAGAAATCTGCTTTCTCTGCTATCCCCGACTTACGGGTGACTTATCTAGAATTTCTTTTTCTCTCTGAAGTGGAGGAAATGAAATCCTTCTATTAATTTTCCAAGTTATGAAGCCAGACTCAACATATATTTGGGGAGACCACATGTCCTCCCTGAGTGGAAAGACCTGAATGAGACGTTTTTGTTTCTGTAAGATTGCCCTTCATTTCTTGGCAGGGATTTCCTGGCCAAAAATACAAGTACACGAAAAAAATGCTACTAAATCACAATATGCACAGATTAAGGTCTAGAAGGCCCATGCTCTCTGTGAGACAACAATGACTCAATTTTGTCAATGCCTCAGTGCATTGAACCTCTGGGAGTGAAGTGGAAAAAAACTGCATTGGATTTGTAACAATCGTGGTTCCTATCACAGGCTGCCAGTTGTGACTGTACATATAGAGAGTGGAGTCTCTGTCCTTACGTGTGTGTTATTGGGCCAGGACGCCAGGAACCTGCTGCTGCCCACATCTACCTTCACCCATCCCATGGCAGCCACCACCCGTACTTTTCAGAGGAGACAGCTTTTTTCCTCCTTTTTAAAAAATATATCCCCTCTGATATCTCTAAATATTCACTTAGACATCTCATCAGGACTCCCTGCAGAATGAGGTGTCTAATTTTTCTGTATTCAATATGTGTTCCCCATATACCTCTTGATTCAGGAGAGAACTGGCCTTCCAGGAGCAACTGAATCAACTGTTAAAGAAAACATCGAATCAACAGAATTTCACTTCTATTAACCTGGATTTGGTGGACTCCAATCTGCCTCCTGGCAATTCTGTTCCCCTATCAGATATGCCTGATGTCTCCTCTACCCTAAATGAGGCCAGTGAGTATTCCCTTTATGAAGACAATAAGGCTCCTCCTGCTGGTCTCCAGGGAGTCTCCATATTTTTTATGCTGGCCTCTCTGCCCCAGAGTGAGCTGTCTCTAAAAAAGCAGGCCCCATAGAGTCACCCTGGTTTAAATGTAACTCTTGGTTCTAATTTCAAGCACAAATATGAAGTAAATGAATTAAATTCACATTCTGCCTAGGCCCTGGCATATACTGAAAATATATGGTTTGTAAATCATACAAACTAGGGTGAAAATAGTGAGCATTTCCTGACAAAAATCTGTCCCCTCTTAGCACATGCACAGAATCTGGCAGGCCTCCTGTTGAAACAACTCATCTACCCTTCAATGGTCTTGCAAATTTTCATTCAAACCATGTTCTTTCAGGATCTGTGACTGTCCATGTGGATGGTTGTCTTCTGCCTATCTTAGCAGATGTTGTTACATGATTCTTCACTTCCAGGCTCCTGTTTCCATCCTCCTAATAGCTTCTTCTCGTGAGCAGTCATCCCACTGTGATGACGCAAACAGCATTATCACGGCCGGTGCTAAAACGTATCCTCAACACAAGTTTCTACCCTCACAATCCCAACCTCCATAAATCCAATGAAGTTACCAATAATATCTAGGGCTACATTTTGTAAAATTTCAAGAATATATCACTGAACCAAGGGTATGTGAACATGTAGAAAATGGTGAGTATGAGAAACCAGAATATGCTCACTAGGAGGAGGTCTGGCTCTTGTAAATCAGTGTAATGAAAGGCATTCTAACAAAGAGATGCAACATCCCGTGAGGTGTGTGACAGAGTAAGCCAACTTTTTTTTCCCCCATGAAAGAGGGCTTTTCTTCCCTTTGTCTTCTGATTCTCAGTAGGATGAGCTTGCGCTCCTCTTCCCGGTGAGTTCTGATTCCATGATAGAACTAGTCCTGTATTCTGCTTAACAGAGAACATCCAAGAAACCAAATGTCTCTTGAAGACAGACGTCACCTCTTGGACCCAGCTTCACAGGGCAATAATAGAACTGGACCAACAGAAAGTGGAGCAGAGGAAGCTTACAGAAAAGTTCCAAAAGAAGCAGAAAGGCATCACACAATCGAAGGATAAATTGAGAGCCCCCGAGAGAGAATATTCCAGGTAAGTGACAGTTCATTGCTATACGAGGTGGCCTGACTGACTCATGAAACAAGGAATACCGGCAAAACGGCCAATACCCTAGCCTAGACACCTGTTTCCCCTCTGCTGTTTCTAATTTATGGGTGACTCTGATTTACAGACTTCTGTGAGAATGACTTCATCACAACCAAGCAGAGAATGAAACCCTGGTAGTAATTCAGAGTATCGGAAATTGCAGTCCAGCTTATGCATGTTCTCCATTTGGGAGACCAGCTGTTCTCCCCCGACTGGGCAGAGCTGACTGAAACAGATTCGTTTCTGCAAGCTTGTCCTTTGTTGGTTGGCAGGGACGGCCAAAAATGCGCCTCAACCTAAATTGCTATTACATCATAACACTGAGAGAAGAATACCTAGAGGGCACATGCTCTCTGTGAGACAGCAGCATCTCAGGAACCTCTGCTCACTGGGCCTCCAAAAAAGAGGAACAAGACTGAAGTGGCTTCCTAAAGTGGTAGAGTTACGGTGTGCTGCCTCTCGTGACTGCACCACACCATGTGAGTGGTGACTCCTCAGCTGCTTGTTGTCTGGACAGCACACTGAACACCTACTGCTCCCCACATCCCTCTCTGTCCTGTATTCCCATATCAGGGGCATCCACGCTCTGCCGTTGTCAGAGACAGTGGACACTGCAGAGCACTTCGCACACATAGAACTCTACCACTTGTAGTAAATTTGCATTGTCTAACTCCACGTCCCTTCTTACAGGCCCATTTCTCAGTCAGATGTGCCTGCAGGTTGCTCTACTGCTGATATGGCCAGGGAGTGTTGCCATGAAAAGGAGAAGGCTCCCGCTGGTCTTGCAGGTAGATGTCCTATTGTTTGTGTCACCCTCTATCCAGGAGGAGAGCTGCTTCAAGGCAGGTTGGCCCTGTGTATCCATCTTGGTTTGAATAAAAATCTAGGACCAAGTTTTAAGCACACACATAAACTGAGTGAGGTCACTTCACACTCCTAGTCTGTGGCCACATCGCTGTTACCGTGGCATTTGCTGAGATATGTATGGTGTTGGAATCAATATAGACCAGTGTGAACAGAGCAGGGGCACTCTGGCAAACTCTGCCACTGCTTAGCACATGGACAGAATCTCATGGACCTCTTCTATTAAAACCTCTCATCTCTCCCTCAATGATCTTGCTAGTTTTCACAGCAATATAGTGGGTGGGCAGTGTCTTGCCCATATTTTTACCAGCTCAGCTCTGAGGTCCAGTCCCTGTCCTCATAAGCAGTTAAGCCTTAATTGGCCCGTCCTCATAAGCGATCATTTAATGAGGTAACTTCAACACCTCTAGAATGGCCTGTGCTACAACTTCCCCTGGACACAAGACTTGGCCAAGGCAATCCAAATCTCCATACATGAGTGAGGAATCTGTGCTCTTTGAATCACTAAGGATATCATGCATTTATTCTTGAGAAAACTCAGTCCTGGAATTTTTAACGAATATGATTTTGAGCAAGGATGCCCATCATTTATTAGTGGAATGGCAGGTACTGCAAAGAGAGAGATGCAACATTCTCCATGGTATGTGTTAGAGTGAACCGTACACATGCATTTCCCACCAAATGCAGGGCCTTCTTTCCCTCTGCCTAAGTTCTACTAGTGAGGACAGATTTGCTTGGTCTTAATGCTGGTTTTGGACTTTATAATATAAATACTTGTGTATTACTCAACAGAGCACAGTGAGGAAATGGAATATCGAAGGAAGACTTGGGTCATTCAAATCCACATACGCGATTCAACAAAAGAGGTGGAGCTGGAAAAGAAGAAGCAGAAGCAGATTACAGAGAAATTGCAGACGTTGCAGAAGAAGATCATTCAGTTCAAGGATAAATGCAAAGTTCACAAGAAAGGCTGTTCCAGGTAAGAGCAGGTTCAGTGGTATATAAGGTGGCCTGATTTGCACATGAGAAGGGGGGCTGTTGGTAAGGTTGCTAATGTCCTTGCCAGGAACCTGTTTTCCCACTGATCCTGATTTATGGATGACTCTGAGCAGAAGAATGGGCTTCTGTGGTAAGGTCTTCTTCCAACCAAAGTGCAGAGAGTAAAACATCTACCACAAAGTCAGTTTCATAAATATCCTAACTTTGGAGATTACCTATTTTCCCCTGAGTTGAAAGACCCAAAGGGATACATTTTTTTCTGCCATATTTTCTGCAATAATTGGTTTGTGGGCATGGAACTCATGACAAATAAATACAACTACATCTGACATTTTCTGCTGAGTGGACAGACATGAATGAGCTGCATGTGTTTCTCCAAGGCTGACCTTGGTTTCTTGTCTGATGACAAAAATGTAACTAGACCAAAGTGTCATACTGTATCACAGTCTAAGGTCTAGAAGGGACATGAACTCTGTGAGACAACAATGCCTCAGGAGTCTTAATGAACTGGGCCCCTGGAAGGAAACTGGGACAAATTTAAATCGGGTTTGTAACAACTGGTATTGTTCTCATGTGCTGCCAGTCATGGCAATACCCTAAAGAGAGAGTGGTGTATCCTTCATTGTTGGCGTATTATCTGGCCAGTGAGCTGAGCACCTGCTGTTACCCACACCCTTCTCCACCCCTTGTAGCTGTCTCCAGAGCAGCCATCCTCTGCCCTTCTCAGAGGAGGGTGGGTGTTTTCCACTTTTTTAATAATAATAATAACCTTTTTTAATAATAATAATAATAATAATAATAATAATAATAATAAAAACAGTTATCCCTCTGCCTACGACTTGTCATTTAGATATCTCATCAGAAATTGCCACAGAACTGTGGTGTCTAATTCTTGTGTGTTCACAATTTTGGTCTTCTTATTCTTCTTGGTTCAGGAGAGAACTGTCCATGAAGGGGAAAAGGAGTCAAATCCAACAGAACACATTGGATGAACACGATTTGACTCTTCCTAGTAAACTGGAATTATCTGACTCCAACTTGCAACCCGAAAGTTCCATTTCCCTGTCAGATCTGCCTAAAGTCTCACCTACTCTGGTCTTGAACTGTGAGTATTCCCATTATAAAGAGAATAAGGCCAAGCCAGAAGATGGCATGGTGGTTAAGGTGCTGGCCTCCCGCACGCCAAGCATGGTTTGAATACTGAATCCAGTGGCTTAAAAACCATGCTGGCCACGTGGGTGTGCATTCCCCAACATCCTGAGGGATTGGGTTACTATCACCCCAAGAGAGTGATTTCTCCCTTTTCCTCTCTCTATCTGTCTCTGGTGAGTGCATGTGCCCCATGGTAAAAACCTAAAGCAATAAATAAAGAGAATGATGCTCCCAGCCCCCCTCTGAGTGGATTTCTTGTCTATGCTGACCCCTCTGTACAGGAAAAGAACTGTCTCTAGGCAGGCAGGTCCGTGGTTTCACTCATACTCTAGAACCCAGAGATCAAGTGGGTGAGGAAACTTTATACTCTTCCTAGTCCCTGGCCAACCTCTGTCATCCTGGTACTCAGGCAAAAAGCATGGTGTTCAGATCAACACAGACCAGGGAGGAGAGAGTGAGGATCTCATAGCAAACGGTCACACCTCAGAATGTGAACAGATTCTCATAGTCGTTCTCTCACTGGAACACCTCATCTCTCCTTCAGTGGTCTTGCTCATTTTCACAATGAACAACTTGCTTTTAGCATTCGTGTCTGTCTACAGTGGGTGGTTGTCTTGCCTACAGTATTGAAGTGTCATTACCTGGTTCCTCTACTCTGAGCTCTAGTCCTTCTTCCCCCAGTTGATTTGTCTTCATAGCAGTCATCTGAGTGTGAGAACGTAAACATCATTGCCTGTGCTGAACTTTCCCCAAACACAAGGCTCATCCCTGGCAATCCCAGTCTCCCTAAATGGCCAAGATCCTTGTGTTCTGTGAAGTGCCAAGGGTATCTTGGGTTGGACTTTGCCAAAAGACAAGATGGATTACTGAACAAATGGCATGTGAGCATGTTGAAAATGGTGAGCATGAGAAGCTAGAATGTTCTCTCTAACAGCAGGCCTGGCTGTCTTGTATCAGTGGAATGAAGGGCATTGAAGAGACCGAGTTACAACATTTCTCGCGATGTGTGGTGGAATGAGCCACCATTCACTTTTTCCACCAATGCAGGGTCTCCCTCCCTTTTGTCTATGTTCTGTCTGTCAGGACAGATGTGCAGTCAGCAGAACCCAACAATACTCTCTTTGCATTGCTCCCTTCCTCTCCTAGTTATCAATTACAGCTGGAACTAAGGAAAGATATTCTTTAGTTCTTTCCTGTTGGAATGTTCTCCATGATCAAAATACTACTGTGTTGTTCTCTCCACAGCTCTCTCAGGCAACATCATCCCTTGCAAGAACTGTGGCATTCTCCCGAGACCAGTTCTTAAGCCTGGAAATAGAGATGAAATGTCACAATTTGGAATGGCAGCTCGTTTTCAAAAAGCTCCAGCACACATAGAAGATCTCACATTTCAACAATAAATGCGTATCACTCAAGGAAGAACTGTTCAGGTAGGACATAGTCAGTTGTTTAAAAACGTGATGTCATTGTCACATGACTAGAAGGGATATCGACACAGCATTGGTGCTGTGTCCAGCTCAGCAACCCTGTGCCCTCATCCAACATTGCTTCTGTTAGCTAGTTTTGAAGGGATGGTGTTATGGAAGTTCTCAGCACATCAAAGACCGGGGCAGACAGGCTCCCATACTTCTAGTTAGATACGGGACATTGGTGTCCCCACAACTGACAAGCTTCTGCACTGGCCATGCTACTGTCCCCAGCAGCAGGTCTGTAGCAGCCTGTTCTGTCTTCATGAAGGGTAATGCAGCCACATTGAGAAGCACAGAGGTCTGTGCTGGGGTGCGTGCTCTCTGCCTCGACAACATGACTAACGGGATGATGTCGGCGGAGGTAAAGATACATCTAGCTCTGCCTTCTCCCAAACTTTATGAAAAAAGCCTGCAACTTGGGTCCTACTTCCAGGATTGTCAACAACAGTCCATGTGCCTTAAGTTAAATCTGAGCTCTCTAATTCCACTGTGTCCACATGAGCAAAAGGTAGTAGTGGACTTGAATGTGGTTCATGGGCCTGACTTGCTCTCACATTCCAGGGCTTTCTTACAACCCTTCCGATTTTCCCCTAAGGACTGGGACTTGGGAACAAAGCAGAGACCATGTCTTTCTGCCATGAGTCCTATCCTTCCTGCAGCAGTCTGTGTCTGAACGTGGAGGACTGATTCTAAGTATGTCCCTCACTGGGAGGTGTGGAAAGTCATCACATTTCTCTAGATAAGGAGACCAGGAGAAAAGTAGCCAATATTTCTAGCTTCTGTTTGTGAAGAGTAGGGTTCACGAATCCTGTTCTTCAGGCTCAACTGTCAATTCAGGGAGGGTTTTCTTCCAGCTTGCCATAACACTTTTACCTCCAGCCAGCCTGAGGCTCACTACTTCCACTCTTTCTCTCCAGAAGAGCTAAATTGCCTCTGGCCTGTATTACCCTTTAGCCACCCTTCCAGGCCCAGCAAGCAGCAGAACCTGACAAGACTCTCTTTGCATTTCTCCCTCCCTCTCAACCATCAACTAGAGCTGCAACCGCAGAAAGATAGTCAAGATTTGAAACAATCACATCAGAAGAATGAGCTTTTCCATTTGATGGAAAAACTACAACAGCACAATAAGTCACTGTGCAAAGAGAACACTGACTTAATGTCTTCCACTTCCATTTGATGGAAAAACTACAACAGCACAACAAGTCACTGTGCAAAGAGAACCCTGACTTAATGTTTTCCCACAGACTCTCCTCCTTCCCCACCCTCTTCCCACACTACATCTGGTATGTATCACCGTTTGCTAGTGTTCCGAGTCATCACATGTTGGGCGGAATTTATCGTAATACGTTCTTCATGATGGAATCTGGACCAGCTGATTTTTGCATGTGTAAATTTATTCCCTGACACCTCAGTATATGAATAACATGATTGGATATAAAGCACTGTCCAAAATTACGCTTTCTTCATTAGAAAATAATGATTCGGTTTGGGGGAACTGGCCTGGTGTTTCTCACTTTCTGGGGTAAGCATGATGTGACTTCTGGTTCTGGGATTCCATTTTGTGCTACCAGGACCTTTCATTCCCACCAGTTGCTTCTTTCTCTCCAGAGGACACTTCCTTTGTCCAGGTCTCCCCCTCTCCCCGGCAACTCTGTCTTCTCATCGGCATCTCTAGTCCTCTGCACTGTGAAGCTTCTTCCTTTTGGTTCCCCAGTAGCCGATATTCTAATAGGCCAGGTCACATACATGTTCTGGATTATCCACACTTGCCTTCTGTGAACACTCCATATTCTGGCGTGAGTGGGCCCTTGCCGGGGTCCGGCCTCGGCAGTGGAGGGTGGCTCGTACACAGGAAGGCAACATGGGTGTTCAGAAACAAAAAATTAGACTGAGACCTCATTGCTCCTTAGCATGTTCTCAGCCGGCCACAGCCAGAGCCAGCTCCAGGCCGCCGCGCCGTGGCTATTAAAACATGCGTATTTATTGAGGGAGGTTTAGGAAGTAAGGAGGGTGAGGGGTAGTAAAAGATTTACTCTAAGGAACAGGGTATACAAAGCATGGAAGCAATAATTATAAAACATGCTGTTTGTCTTGTCAGATCAGGTAAAATCAATCACAGTTCTCAGGATGAGGAAGTCCATTTGTCTGTTGTATCTTCTTCTTAGATCTTGATTACTGGGAAGGGTCTTTTGAAGAGGGGGCTTGCAGGATGTTTGATAACTTCAGTCCCGGGCCAGGGCGATAACGTTGCTGGTTGCAAAGACCTAGATA